TGAGCCTTTTTTTTTCTTTTTTTTTTTTGTGTGTGTGTGGGGGGTGGGGTCTCTTGTCATTTATTTTTCATCACTTACTTCTGTTGAAATCAGAACATCCTCCTTTTTTGACACCTGGCATTTTCAAATTAATATTATAACAGCGCCCTAGTTTAGTCTTACTCAAATCCCCTCTCATGGATGTAGCCCCAATTGTGTTCTTCTATTTGATTCTTGCATGTATATTGTGACTGTGTACTAGTGTCCCTATTGATGGGACCCTAACGTCTTGATACTGAGTAGAGGACCCGCAACTTTCAGAACCCATCAGTTCCCGTGGTGATTTAGCTGTTTGTGAGTGTCTTGTGTTCAACTAGAATGTGAAGTAATTCGGAGGGTAGGCTTTTGAATGGGTGGTGGTAGCACAGCAAGACACCTTAAAGCTGACATTCCATATGCCCGAAAAACCGATGCGAACTTCGGGTGCGAATTTCGTGTACGAAATTCGGGTGCGATGAAAAAAGAGCCCTCCTTCCATATACGCGAAATTCGCATCCGTCATCTGACTGAAATCATATTCAAGTGCATTTAATTAAGGAGGGGGGTGGGTGTAAGTGAAAAGCTATTTTTAGTTATTACATGATTTAAACGATAAATGATAGCCTAGATAGATTATATAGACTCCCGAAAGTTTCCCACAAACTAAAAATAAAAGTGGTTGCCATGCAAATGACAGCCACCTTGAAAATAAACACTTCTTTTCAGTCTTGGTTTTAACACTTCTCTCTCGAACCAAGGAAATCAACATTTCGACGTTTTCCCCACTTATCTAGTGCTTCTATCATGTTCTATGCTGCTTCGTTCCTTTGAAGTAGATTTGGCGGGAAATAAGCCCCGCCCACTTCACGAAGAATTCGCATGCGAAGAAAAAAGTTTCGCTCCCTCGTGCGAAACAAAATCTTCGCATGCGAATTTCGGACTCGGCTATGCGAAATTCCAGTATATGGATTCACCCATGGACAAAAACGTTGGTGCGAAAAAAATAATTCGCAAGCGAAATTCGCACCCGAAGTTCGCATCGGTTTTTCGGGCATATGGAATGTCAGCTTAACAGTTACGTAGTAGTTCTGAATTGGGCGCTGTGTTGCGGCAACTAGCTGTGGCCTTACTGTCTGTTTTGTCGTTTTAGTAAACGTTTTAAGGCACTTACAACGCTTTTGAGTCATATAAGTGCCGAAATTTAGAGGTGTTACAAGAAAGTAACGAACAGATAAAAAGAGGAGGAAAGAAAAGCACGATAGATGTTTGGTGGGAATGAAGGAGGAGCACCAGCCAACCACCCACAGCGTTATTGTATTTGCATGAATTGTTGCGTGCTTGTACCACGGGACAGTGGGTGGTTGGTG